TCCCCGAGCGGCATGGCTGTGTGCCATGCCCGGCCCCGGTGTGCCCTACAGGGCAGCGTGACACGCCTGGCCTGCAGCTGTGTGCCAGCAGAGCTTTGCCCGACAGCCCCTTCACCCCGGAGTCAGGGGTTAAATCATGAGACTCTAGGCACAAGAAGCTCAGCATTACAACAATACTTATTTAAAGCAGCAGGAAAATGAATCCAAGCTTTCATGTCACTGTGGGGGAACCCCCCGTTCGATTCTCTCCCAGCACCACGTTAAGCCTTGGTGCTGCTTCTCGCCCATCCCAGACCCAGCAGCAAGGTAAAGCCTGACAGAGCGAGGCTGCTTCCCCAGAGCAATCAGGCTTTCTCTCCAACGCAGAGCACCCACAGGCCTTGGGATCTCAGGGTCTCTCCACCAGCTCTTCTTGCCCGCTCTGCCACGCAGGAACAGGGCAGCTTCACTGGCAGATCTTAGCCAGGAGGTCCGAGCAGCACACAAACACACCAAGCTCTTCACGCAGCAGGAAGAGAGGAGACCCAGGCAGCCTCCCCCCATACAAACACTCTTGCAGGGTTAGGAGCCTCTGAAGAACACAACGACCTTTGCTATCTGCTGGCAGATAGCGCAGGGCTGCAGGAGGCTTTACTTACAAACTTATCACTGAGGCATTTCCACCACCTTTCTTTTCCTGCCTCAAAGAGGCTCCATAAAGAGCCAACCACCCCTGTACATTTTTAAGTTTTATAGGATCAACATTTCTACAGAGAATATCACATTAGAAAAACCATCCACTCAAATACAACATCAGTAGCAGCACAGGAGGAAGGTTCAGCACCAGAGCGGGGCCGGTAACACCACAGCCCAGCAAGAAATAGGGGCACGCAGCAGCCTTCAGCTGAGACTTCAGAGCCTTTCTGGATATTTCACCTCCCCTGTTTTGCCCTCAAGTCCGCAGTCGTCTTCAGTCTGCGAGGCACATAGCCTCTTCGTTACCATTACAGCAGTTTCAGATTCAGGGAAGCGCTTCAGCCCTGCTAAGAGATAACGAAAGCCTGGGCTCCCCAGTGCGGGCTTCCCGCTGCGTGGCACCACTGCCAGTTTGTCCCTGCTTTGAAACTACCATCCTCGCTACCAGTCCCCGACTTGCTCATCTCACTGAAAGAGAACATGAACTTTCCTCCTGGATGCAAATGGCAACATCAAAGTATGTTGCTTTGGGCCATACTATCCAAAATCTTTACTCTGCTTTTGTTTAAAATGTTATGTTGGCTGAAAATCCAAAACAAAGAAACAATGCAGAATATGTTCAGCAGTAAAATAACAGTTAGTAGAACAGTACAACAAGACAGAACACATTCACAAATGATGGGATTCCTCCTCATCCATCGTATTACCCGATCAGGCTGCTAGCCTCCATCGGCAGAGAGCAGAGGAACAAATCAGACCCAGCTGCCACGGTACGTACCAAACTCCCATCAGAAAAGAGCCACTTACGCTCTTACTGTATAGAAGAAAAAAAACGTTCTGTAGACAAGGAACATACATAACAACAGGGGGGAGCAGATCATCTTCAGGCATTAGATGATTCAGGGAATGATTACTACACAGAGTTGATTTGCAGCCTGTGAATGCATAAAGACATTTCAGCTGTAGCTCCTGATAAAAAGTTCGCTGCAGCCTCACAAGCCAGGCATTTGCTTCAGATATTCCAGTTCAATGTAACTGCAAATTAATCCATGCCACTTTGTTTCCCCCCTTAGACTTCACGTACATAGATGTCTTGAAGCTCCACTGCTCAGTGGGGCAATAATTCACTGAGCTAGGCTTCCCTTCTGACCTGTCCACAGCTCTCGCAGCTCCACTTTGCAGCCAAGATCCCTCAGTGCAGCTTTGGCCACATCATCGCAGTCCTTGTGTGCTGCACGAGCTTCCGTTATTAGGTTCTCAGCTCCCATCTCTAAGATGGGTTGAGAAAAGTCCCGGCTCCGGGAGACCAGGTTGCGGATCAGCATGCAAGCCTGTTTCTGAGGAGAGAGGTACATGAAAGGTATTAGCATCAAACCATCCATGTAGAATGCTGGCACACACAAAGCAGATCTGGCTCCAACTAAAGCATCTTTTCAGGGGAACCAAACGTGAGGTGCTGTAGACAGCCACGAAGTATTTCCTGGAAGAATAAAATCCACAGACAAAAGTATGGCTGCCCTTTTGCATTGAAGTTTATACAATAAACCCTCCTCCTTCTGTCAGAACACCAGCAAATCTCAACCGCCAGCCAGGCAACACCAAGTACTTCTTTAAATAACACTAAGACAGAATTCCCCAATTACAGCAGACCCACCTTTCCAGCCCCTTGCATGCTGTTCCAGGCACCTTCCCTGGCACTTGGCTTAAACTACTCTTTCAGAAAAATATTTTCTATGGTATTTTAATACTCTGGAGAGCACAAAAATGGACACAGAACCTACTGAGACTTGCATGAGAAACCAGAAGCTAACTTCTTGCCATGTAAGTGTTTTATTCGACTCTGGAGAAGAGACAGCAATGTCTCCTATAGGACAGATAATGTTGTAGCACAGGCTGGGTCTGAAAGAGCCTATCCTCATCCCGTTCTTTTGAGAAGGAAAAGAAATAGTGCCTGGAAGAGAAGCACGGCTTTCCACAGTCACTTGAACCTGAATTCAGGTGAGTCTGAAACCCAAACTAAATTTTTCTCTGATCACATCAGGGTGACAGATGTAGGAGTCCTGCATTTAGATGCTGTATTCCCACCACACTCAGAACCTTTTGGTATTTGTCAAGTAAAGGGCAAAATCCCAATGAAGCAGTGAAGACAGCCAACACCAATCCTACATAAATAATCAAGTGCTCTGAAGCAAATACCTGTACAGCCACTTCTCGTGGGTGTGCTTTCATAGCCTGAAGAGCTGCCAACGCCCCTCCGCCTTCCATGATGACATTACAGTTCTCGGGTTTGCGCAAAGCCAGCATGCACAAGGCTGCACAACCTTGCTCACAGATCTGCAAGACAAACGGCAAGAGACACTCACTGGCTGAGAATGTTGCTTTAAGGAAAAAAAAAGAAAAGTGTTTGGAGCTTGTTTCCTTTTCTGGCAGTTTTTTTAATTTATTTTTATTTTTTTAAGCTTCTTCCACTGAAACATCCTGCTTCTCTGGCATGTAAATGAAGTTTTACGCCCTAGAGGTGTAAAACACTGTATCCAATATCCGTCCTATTCAGGAACAAGAAAAAACCCTAATATAGTAAAGTGGACATACCTTTACACTTACACAAATATTTGCCAAAGCATGCACCTATAACTCTACAACAACTGGATGTTAAAGGCTTCATACATTGCTCAGTTGCAATCATTTAACGACTGTACTTAAAATGTAGCTACTCTCAGCATAAGCCATTTATCGCAAGTCAGAGCAACGCTGTGGGCCGTGCCTCTACACAAGAGAAGTTACACCGCTACATTATACAGCCCAAACCTGATCTCCACTCCCAGCCCCGGTGAGACTTCATCGACCACTTCAGTGCATACCTGAGGGCTGGCAAGGTGATGGCTTATAGCGAGCACAATGAGGTCCGTTCCTCCAGCGTTAACGATGGCATCTTTCACGTCATCATTACCTGCAACTGCTCGGATGGCACTCAGCACCTGCTTCACCACGTCCTGCATTCATCAATAAAAATCAGCTTAGAAAGCTGCAGAGAGAGTTTTAGACTTTTGAAAGCCAACCAGAATGTCCCCTAGCAAATCCATTCAAACAGTTGTAATTCTCAGCTACGAAAAGCAACGCTATTCTCTGTCACATTTTCTTACTAGACAGAGTAATAAGGAACCGCGTTAGTTTGGCAGAGGTTTTCAAAGAAGCTTAATGAATCAAATGTCAACCCTCTGGGACTCGACCATCTAAATCCTCTTGAATCTCTTCTAGCTAGAATGGTGGAAAACCAGAAGCTCAGCTTTTCTGGGAGCAAGCAGTGCTCTGCCCGTGGAGCGTGGAGGACAGAGGAAGTAACTATGAGCAAGGGGCTCAGAATTACCACATTCTTATCTGACGGAGCAGAGGTAACCTAGTTCTGTATATAAGGCTGTAAATAGCGATCAATGGTTGAGCTTCAACCCTAACTGCACCTAAAATAATGCCTAGTCTAAGGCCCATTCACAGCCAGGACTTTAAAATGTAAAGCACGCGTTGCTGCATTACCTCCACCCCCAAGCACACTTTATATTGCTCACCGGATGGTCGATGCAGTCAGCCAGGAGAGCCACCATAAAATTTAAGCCGCCAAGGTCCACAATTTCTTGGCAGAATTCATTCCTGACAGAGAGGCGAGAGAGGGTGGCACACAGTTCACTGAGAACGCTGGAGTTATCTGTGAATGCTGTAGAGGAGAGACAATGAATGGAGTAACTACGAGCAAGGAGGGGTGCTGCAGAATCGAGGTGGTTTACTTTGCTTCATTAACAAAAAAATAAAAAAAGAAAAAGGAAACAGGAAACTGTATTTCACCTTATATATTAAAACAGCACAGATAACATTCTGTTCGCTCTGTATCTAGACTGAGACAGACTATCTTTTCTTGGCAAGAATGCAGCCCCTCAGCAGGGATAATGTGTCTGTAAACCTGCACTGGGCTGTAAAACACTTCCTAGACAGACTGACAAATAGCTCTGATAACTGCCACCTTGGTGCTGCTGATAGCCTCTGGAGCAGTCATATTATTTTTCTCTCTCAGGGCACATTTCATCAGAAGAATTCAACATCACTTTAGCAGCAAATTTCTGAATCATCTCTAGGGAGCTTCAAGTTACGATAAAGCACAGTTTTGAGATAAGAAAGTACAGATGATTCAAAATTAGGATCAACAGTCACAGGGTAAATTTTACCTTTTGCAGCTTCAATGAGGACTCTTAACCCATCATTTTCCAACACAATCATTTTAGCATGATCATGAGCATGACCAAAGGGCACACGGATGTCATCATCAAACGTCATGATCCTGAGGGCTGAGGAGGCTGTTCGGACGACATCGGCACTGTCTCCGTGCTGGACTATGGCTCCAGTCAGAAGCGGCAGAACCCCACCTTTTACAAAGTCCTGACGATTCTGCTCGTGTTTCAGACAGGCATGCCGAATGCATCGGATCCCAGCCAGCGTCATTTCCGCATCCTCCCTATATTCTTTCAGAGTTTGTAGCAGTAGATCCTGGCCAGCGGAGTCAAGTAGGTCTGGCTGCCCATCCAAGATGGCAGACAGAGTATAAAAGGCTTTCAGCATTAAATTTCTGTCTCCTGAAGCCAACTGGCAAGCAGAGAACACCACAGAATAGGCACCATTCTGCCCAGCCAGGTAGCGGAAAGCCAGCTGTTCTTTGCACTGATCAGTGAAGACCACTAGCTGCTCAGCCATCTCAGCAACATCAGAGTCAGCAACAGCTCTCTCAAGGGAATCTAAAGTCTAAAGAAGAGAACAAGAGTTAATTTTTGATCTGAACTGTGAAGGACCAAGAGCAGTTCTTTATAGTCAGTCAAATTTGTTTATTTATAACAATAGTCTTCTTTTAAATTTAAAATTAGTTTCATACATCTCAGAAATGGCTGTCTTAAAGAGCAGCACTTTGTCTTCATGCACAGAACCCTTGGAGGAATGGGGGCTTCTCTGTACTTCTGCCATCACTGTATACCAGTTTGACCAGTAGCGGGTGAACTGGGGCCAACCAGCACATTTCACAGGGGTCAGTGGTGTGCATGAGTATTTGTATACTCTTGCTGGTGAGGGACTGTATTCAGTCTTTTCATCTACCCTCAGAAGAGCTAGCTCACAGCTACCACTTAGGTTACTTGCATTTCTTTCATTAAAGTTCTTCTGTGGTTTGAGTTTACCTGACAACAGCAGAATCTGCTTCTAAGTTATGAAAGGCAGTCTCCGCATTTCCTAGGCAGGAAATGCTGGCATTTTGCACTTACACAGATATTTCCACTGAAAAATGCAAGCTAGCTCTTTGAACTTTTATATTATTCCCGGTTTGCAGAATATATGGGATTAACTGCTTGTTGAAGAGCTCACAGAGAAATGGGACAGAGGCAGAAGTAGAAGCTATGTCTCACTATTTTTGCTTTATTACTTAAACTATTACATAACCCTGATCCTTAGAAGACAACATAAATTTCTGCTCCTACCAGCAAAATTTCATGCTTTTGCCTTTGACCATTTTCAGAGGCAGGCTGCCGCACAGCTTTCACAATATTGCTTAGGTCAACACCTAAAAGAAAAACAAAAACAAGATTAATATTAGTTACAGAAGCTTGGGTAAAAATTGTCAACTTAACCGCAGTGAACAAAGATGGACTTATTGTAAGATGTGGATCAAGGCACAAAGATGCTGAAATGTTTCTAAAGGTCTGTCTAACTATAATGGTCAAATACATCCTGGAACAAAGCATCGATTCTAGCTAAATGTGAACTGGGGGTGGGGGGGGAAGTTT